CAAGGTAACATCTTATACACAAGACAAAAAAAGGGGGTTAGTCACCAACATAAGCAACACTTTTACCCTAGTCGATGACACTTGTAAGTCACACTTCTGGAAGCAAATGTATACGTGAAGTGGTCTGAGTAGACTGAGGGAGGTGTGCGGGTGTCTGTAAGTGTGCGTGGGTATAAATGGGGGTCGATCAGGACGGCCACTCACTATCTCGTCCTCCAGGTCCCGGCCCACTTGGTGCACCTCCTTGGAGGCCAGAAGGATGCGCCGGCGCTCCTTGAGCGGCTCGATGAGGCGGACGATGCGCGTCTCCACGGCAGCCTGGCGCTCACTGACCGTGTCCATGACCTGGCCCTGCTGGGGGATGGAGGCCGCCGCCACCTGCAGCTCCCCCACCTCCTTATACCACTCCTCCATCTGACACTCCATCGTCTGGAGAGAGGGAGCGAGGGAATGGAGAGGGAGTGAGAGAGGAGATAGAATAGAAGCAAAGAGGGATGGAATTGAAGCGTTTGAAGAGGGGTGAGTGAAGGAAGGAGGAAGGACAGGTTAGAAAATAAAGAGAGAGAGAGGAAGCCCATGGGACAGCGAGAGGCCTGGTGAGTTTGGAGAGGATACATTGGTTCCTGTATCAATCCCCTCGCACCAAAATATCCTGACAACATCCAACTCAGGAGTCAGCCACTGATGGCTTTCCTAGGTGTACATGATAAGTTGCTCTATTGGTCTGTCTTAACAATGCATGAGAAGTGTTTGGATGATAGCAGTTAGATCTACTGCAATTGACTACAAGGCAATTACTCCTCCAGAGTGGCCATATAGCTGTCAGGTAATTCTGAGGGGGATGGGGATTCTCACTAAGGCAGTGATACTCATTTTGGAACACAAACATCAGGTTGAGATCACCAGAGAGGTGGAGTAGTGTCACTGAGGCTAACTAATTTGAAAAGTGGGCCAGATACAAAGAGATGTTGCATGAGTGCCATGGTAAAGTGAATTAGAGTAGGAGGCAGAATGAGGCCGATCAATCCCTTACGAATTCACATGATGATTTGACTTTGGGAATTCTTAGAAATTGTGAGGAAAAGAGCATTCGGGATGGCTGCCTCAGTACCTATATATGGTTAAATGAATCCCCTGACATTCTCAGAGATTAGCACGAGAATAAGCACACTTTCTATTGGCTTATACACAAATGTTACCCCAATGCATATGCATTGAATCACAAATAAGATAAAACATGGGAATTGAACATTATTTCTAACTTTGACAGAAATGGTCCTTGAATTAATAGATAGAACAATTTCTTAGTCTCCCACAGACACAGACACAAACACACACAGTGGAGTGGAGATTTTCATACATTTCCATATGAAGCTAAAGTTTAGAGTATCAGGGATGAGACAGTGATTCTGCTCACACCATAGATCACAGAGTGAGTGGTAGTGGATGGAAGGAAGCAGAAAGAAAGAAAAAAAAGAAAAACTAGAGTACGAAAGGGATAAAGAAAGAAATTAAGAAAGAAGAAAGAAGGAAAGGACAGATAGGTAAAGAAGGAAAGGAAAGAAAGGAAGAGAAAGAAAGGAAAGAGAAGAATGAAAGGAAGGAAGGAAGGAAGAAGATGCAAGCAGGAAGGAAAGAGAGAAGAAGAAACGGAGAATAGAAGGAGAAGGCAATATACTGTCTTATGCAGACAGCAACACATGGATTTCAATCAGAGAAATTGAATCGATACCTATCCTCTCACCTCCTCCTCGTCATTACTGCAGCTCCTTCTTCCTATACCTGTCCTCCCTCCCTCCCTCCCTTCCCCTTGCCGCCTTCCCTCCTCCACTTGCAGCCTTCCTTGCCACTCCTTCACTTCCCTGTCCGATCCCTCTCCCTTCCTCCTCCCTTCCCTCCTTCCTCGTTCCCGCCCTCCCTCCCTCCCTTGCCCTGTCCCTTCCTCCGTTCCTCCTCCATTCCTTCCTGTCCCTTCCCTTCCCTTCCTTCCGTCCCTTCCACTCCCTTCAAGCCTCCCTTCCCCCCTCCTTCCAGGAAACCATGGAAAGGATTCAGTGAAAGGAAAGAAAGAAGGAAAGAAAAGAAAGGAGAAGATCAGAGTACCCATGAGAGAAATGAACTGAAGTGAAAAGGTTACTGTACCCCTGGATGGAGGTTGGGTGGTGGAGCGTACTGTACACAAAGCACAATGGTAGGCTGAAAAGGAACTGTAAGCAGCCCTTAGCGGCAGCATGCTGTTAGAGAGGAGAACGAGAGATGCATGATGAAATGATAAGCTGTGTGGTGGACCCAGTAGTAGTGACAGAACAGGGGTTGAGCATCCTGGACAGTAAAAAGCATGAACCTCCTCCTACTGTATCGAATGTTGGCTAGCATCAATATTAATGTTTATTAAAATGTAGCATAGGCTGTTAACTCATACCCAAATAATGTTGTTGACTCATCCTATACTCGTATTTGTGGCCAAAGCATAAAATTAAATACAAAAAATACATTTAAAAAACCACCTCAAACGTGTATCTCAAACAGACCGTTTATAAAATGCTTGCTATTTCCTGAGGAGGATGAGCTGGCCAATCAGTGGTCTACAAGCATGAATATTTTTTTTGACCGGTATACGCCCACACCATTCTGTTGTTGGAGTACACCCACACCATTCCAACACAGAAAAGCTGCTTTTTAACATACGCAATTTTTTAACTCATATTGTAATTAATTATAGGACATATTTAATAGAAATCTGGAAACACTGGACAGTTACTTTAACCGAGTATATATTGTAAAGCCATGCTTTGGGTGGAATGGTCTGACTCTCCAATGACAGCCCATTGGAGTGCAGGCCAAGCTTACTGGTGATACGTTGAGTGCCAATTGCTTTTGTTAAACAAAAGCCTATGACATTCTGGTTCATTTAAGGCACTTAAATGAAGAGAAAACAGCATGGCATTCAGAGAAAATGGATGACAAAGGATTAGTAATTCACACAGAACAACCCTAGGTTTTTATATATAGAGATACACTGCGATATTCAATTGCTTTAACCTAACCTACATTTTCATTATGTATGACAATAGCAACACCAAACCCAATGATATTCCCAACTATTCCTAACCAACCATCACCAAAACCAAAAACTGTAACAGTAGTTGGACCATATAATGAAGAGGAAGAGACCTGGAGCTTCTTGAGCTGCTTGTTGACGCTGGTCAGGTCCTGACCCTGGTCCACATAGCACAGTTGTCCCTCCAGCTGGTGCAGCCGATGGTCCAGGCTGGTGTAGCTCTGCACCAGCAGGTCGGCCCGGTTGGCTTCAAACAGCTGGCGGGCCTTGGCCTGGGTGGTACTCTCCAGGTCCTGCCAACACTCCCGGATCTCCCCCAGCTTCCTCCGCACCACCGGGCTCAGCTCGGGCTTCTCCTGGATCAACTGCTGGCCCTCCTGGAGGATGTAGGATGGGGGGTTGAATGTTAGGTAAGGGAGAGGGAGCATGGGGGGGAGCAGAGAGAAAGGGAGAGGGGGGAAATAGGTTAGAGTTATTAGACATTGATGAGTGGAAGTTATAATAACATGAAAATAAAGTCATATTTATATCACTTATGGATATATGACATTGGAGTCATAAACAATCTACTGCCATAAATATCGGATTTTATCCATTGAAATCATTCTGTAAATAGTTCCATCATAGCTAGCAACAATTTGTGACCACCACGTTGGCAGTTTACCATATCGGAACATACATTTAAGCACTTTGTGACACCTGCTGATGGAAATTTGATTGATACGGAGTTGGCTATGGTTTCCCTATATCCTTAATCTGGTAGGTAAATAAAATGGGTTCGAAGCAACCACATAAAATGACAAAGAAAATGTACTATTTGTCTTCCATTGTTAGCTTGTAAGCATGAGCTGTGATTCAGTGGTTCACCTTTAAGAGGCCTGAGTGCTACAGCCTGGGCTCCAGACCAGCTGCTCCTGACTCTGCCCCATCAGTGCATATCAAATTGGGTTACGAGGTCTGGCTTTGCCCTGGCAGCCCAGAAAACCACTTCACCTTTAGAGGTCAGAGCTCACAGATAAAACACGCTTCTCTTATCATCATTTTACTTTCTGATTGAATAATCTGGTATGGGGATCTCTCCTTTGTCTGTCTTCATCGGTTTGGTTTGGAGGTTTCAGGATTGACTCATTTCTTGTTGATTTCATTCATGACACACTCAGGTGTTTTCAGAATAGATACATATTTAAGAGCTCTCTGCTTAGTCATGATTCTTTCCAGTAAGCCCAGCTTAATCACATAACAACCGCAACCCCAGAGACTCAGCCAGCGAATGAGAGGAGAGCACACTGAGTTGCTGCCTGCCGTGACACACCATCACAGACTCAAGAGAGGGGAGAGGCAGACAGACATACACTCGCTCCCTTTCTCTGCAGCACCTCTCTCTCTCTCTCTACCAACATATGTTCTTTAGTCCATCCTCTATCTCTCCATCTCTCCATCTCTCCATCTCTCTCCAGCTCTGTCCTGTGCGCCTGAGTGCACGCAAGTGTTCTGAGCACCGGGGGTTGTAAACTACGCAATCATCTCACTTAATATTCGCCGCCATGGAAACACAGCAGCCAGGTGGGCTGTGTGTGGGGGGAGAGGCTGCATCTGAGTGTGTCAGCACAGCAGAGCCCACAGATATTACGCTCAAGAACATGAAACAAGTCTGGCCTGCCTGAACTCTCACCGTTTCCCCAAGGCACCATAAAGAGCCTATAGGACCGGGCCCCCCAAAAAAATCTATTTGCATTTTAAGCCCCTGTAATGTAATTCACTGATTGGATATAAGTGTGCATTTCATGTGGAATGATTGAAATGCTAGTTAGTTAATTCACTTTGTGCTCAGTTAAAAACATCAGAGTCTCGTTCCTCTGAAACACAGTACTGTTTCTGCTTAAGGCTCAGAACAAGAAACCATTGAAATATCTATTTTGTATATTCCAGTTGGGAGGACATTTGCTTTGACGGCTGAACCGTCAGTGGATCATCCTCTTCCCTCTGATCCGTCTCTATCTGTCTTCTCATGATCAGCCCACACTAAGGATGTCATCATTTGGAGACCACACCACAGCTGCACTGTGAAGGGACACACTCCCAACAGAGCCATAATATCTCATCATGCATATGTTGCTTTTTTGATCTCCAGATGAGTGGGGCAGCAAGGGTATTTTACCCAACTCGTAGACATGGGCAGAATAATGTTCAAAACAAGTTAATTAGTAACCAAAGGACAGGGAAAAGGAGAATTACCATAATGACCACGAAAACAACAGATGGCAATGAAAAAAAAGAATCATCACTATGTGATCATGTATGCAATATCAAACATCTGTTATTGAGTGATAATTACATAAAGTGTGGCAATTGTGTTTGGCTGGTTGTGTCCATGGAAGCTATTGTGTCAATATTACTCCATGTGTGAAGGCCTGGAGGCATAAATCTGCCTGGGAGGACCAGACACAGTCACGTGATTCTGTTGGGGGTGCCATGGCCATACTGTACGTGCCAGCAGGCACCAAGAGTGGCCAACATGTATCAATTAGTGTTTTTAAGGAAATATCAAGCCTTGTGAAGATTGTCCTATGTCCTTCGTCACTTGATCTAAAGCCATGCCTTATAATGAAGCCAGACATTGTTTATGAAACTGATTATGGGAAGCACATTTATTAATGGAATATTTATGTGTGGATAGCGATGTCCTTTTGATGGTTGATCACCTGGGGAAGTAAATAAACATGTTAGAGGTTGTGGTCGCTCGCCGACAATTGGTTGAGCGTGCAAACCTGTTGTTGTGAGTCGCCCAAGCCAGTATATAACTCTTTGGGCTCTATATTCGGCTGGCGTTAAAGGCATCGCTAGTGTCAAACGCGCACTCTTTGGCAATTTTGACATGTAAAAGCAAAAGCCTGTGCTCTTCTATTTTCCAACCCGTAATTTACCTGTCTTATATCAGCTCGCTTGCGCTGAGGTGGAAGGGTTGGAAATATTTGAGGTGTGACCCTAAAAACGTGTGCCATTGTGCCAATTTCAAGCAACGCTACTGGTGATATTTAAGACTCACCAAAAGCTGGTCTTTGCAGTAATGCAATTGGTTATGGCATCGATTTTCCCAGCGGAGGTGCACAGTAGCCTAATAAGTAGCCTATAACCAATGTTTTATTAATATATCACGAGCAGCAAAACAGTTAACAGACCAGACCCGTCGCCAGACCTCAGTCTTAATGGGGGCATATGAAATGCATGGGAGGGCAGGGCACAATTATTATTAGCCTACAGTACGTATATTTAATACTAAATTCCCTCAAGTGTGGGGGGAGGGGGGGGGGGGGGGGGGGGGGGGGGGGGGGGGCGGACCCCTATGGCCCGCTCGTCGTGTAACAGACATTCCCGTTTTGTCTTTATGTTGGACATTATTTTGTCCATACAGCTACTGTGAAAAGTTTGGACTCATTAAGCCTATATGCGATGCCCATTGAATTAAAGGAGTCAGTGACTGTAGGAAGTCTGTTTAGGAACATGAAGTTATTTCAATAGACTATTATTATTGTTTTTCCTTGATCATTTTGTTTTTTTTAAATGGCATCTTTCACTTTCATCTGTTAGACCTAACTGTCCCCTGTAGCTCAGTTGGTAGAGCATGGCGCTTGCAACGGCAGGGTTGTGGGTTCGTTTCTCACGGGGGGGCAGTATGAAAAATGTATGCACTCACTAACTGTAAGTCGCTCTGGATAAGAGCGTCTACTAAAATGACCATAAATAAATAAACACTGGCTGTCCTTGGTGCTTGTAGGCTATTTATTTGCCTGTTCGTTTGTTTACCTTTCACGTGGCAAAGTCACTAACAGGCCATATCAACGGCGATGGTAGGCTAATCCTATTAGAACGTTTGGGCAATGTCCAATTGTCCACGGCTCGAACATGCAGTGCATTTTCTAAATACGAATGCAATTTGTGTAGACGAATATTTCCATGCAAAAAAGAAAGAAAGAAAGATTGGCTATATGTTTGTTATAACTACGCCTATTGTAGGGTTAGTATATACTATTTAATCAATTATATTGAATGGATAGGACAAACATCCATGACTCCTGCCTAAGAGCCCATAGGCCTACGTGTACACAAATTGCCTTATGCTCATGGAACGAGAGATGCGATTTATGATATCATGCTTCTGACCCGATCCTATTTGGAAATATTGTTGTTGGTTAAAAAAACAAAAACAGATTGATTGTTTTTCGTATAATCTGATTAAAAACCAAACTTATTAGAAAGATTCATCGTCCATGGGTTAATGGTGAGAACGTACACGGCTTGAATGTAATTTTGAAGTGCAAATATGATCTGTAAGATGGTTTCATGATGTTTATAAAACATTACATTTGCGAGCAGTATAACGGTGAGTGGACATTGTCCATTTCTCTTTATATTGGATCTTTATCCAGCTCCTGTGAAAAGTTTGGATGTGTGTAAAACCCTCCATAGTCTATGTTGCGTTGTCTATATTATACGCCCATAGGGAGCAATTATGGTGACTGTAACTGTATTTAAACATTTATTTAAAACAAGTCGTTGTTTCGTTTTATTAGAAATTGATTAGAATTAAACACTGCCTTTTTTTGTGAATTTAATCTTACTTATTGACTACATTTGGCATGTCCATGTCCAGACTGCAATGTACAGTAGGCCTAGCCCCTATATCAATGCAAATGATATAGCCTATTAAAAACAAAAACAAAAATATGTTTTAAGTGAGAAGTAGGCATTGGTCTGAAGCTGAAAAATGTATGACATTCACATGAGCACCACAATGCCTACTTCACCCATGCTCTACCAAGGTTTTCCAGCACACGGCTTTGACCTACTACTGTAGCAACAGTGCCTTCAGAAAGTATTCATACTGCTAGACCTAGTCCACATTTTGTTGTGTTACAGTCTGAATTAAACATTTATGAAATTTATTTTTTTCTCACCCCTCTACACACAGTACCCCATAATGACAAAGTGAGAACTTGTTTTTAGAAATGTTTGCAAATGTATTGAAAATGAAATACAGAAATATCTAATTTACATAAGTATTCAAAACCCTTTGTCAATACATATTAGAATCACCTAAGAGCTTTGCACACCTGGATTGTGCAATATTTGCACATTATTCTTTTTAAGATTCTTCAAGCTCTGTCAAGTTGGTTGTTGATCATTGCTAGACACCAATTTTCAAGTCTTGCCATAGATTACTATGCCAATTTAAGTCAAAACTGTAACTAGGCCACTCAGGAACATTCAATGCCATCTTGGCAAGAAACTTCAGTGCATATTTGGCCTTGTGTTTTAGGTTATTGTCCTGTTGAAAGGTGAATTTGTCTCCCAGTGTCTGTTGGAAAGCAGACTGAACCAGGTTTTCCTCTAGGATTTTACCTGTACTTAGCTCTATTCAATTTATTTT